CCCACCCAATATTCACGAGTCCAGGTGTAACCATTCCCCAGCCCATATTTGCAGCACCCGGGATTGCTGCGTGAACCAAGTGTCCTGTTTCCTGTCCTGTTCCTGTACCAGGGTTTGAATTCTGCTGAGCCATTCCCCAACCAATGTTTACAGGTTGAGCAGCATTAGTACTTAGACTGTTAGACCCTTGTTGGTGAGCTGAAGAAGGTGCACTGGAACTTGAAGCTTCTAATTTCTCGACAGCAACAGAAGCATCAGATAAATTTGAAGATCCTAAAGCATTTGGAGCAACAGAAGCAGGACCTACTACAGTGTTGTTGACAGGTTTGTTTTCAGGATTTGATCTATCATGTGCTCCAGGGCACTTCATATTGGCATCGAGTTCATTCATAGGTATTGTATGATCATCTGTATCATTCTGAGGATTGGCTGGTTGAATACTTTCAGAATTTAGAACATCAACAGATGCCTGCTCACTGTGTGGTTTTGTATTGGAACTGCTACTTTCCAACCCCTGCCTCCTGTTTGATCTGTCCATAGACTCAGTGGCATTGGAACCACAATAAACTGCATGACTCGCAGAAGTAGCTACTGCTGATTCAGTGAGCTTGTTCTGCTGCTGAAAGTCGCTCAAGACGCCTATGTTCTCCGGGGTCTTGGCAAGATTGACACAAGGTATAGCACTTGAAGCCCATCCTCCAACAGAGTTCAGTGTCGACGAAGTTACATTAGCAGGAGATTGCTGCAAGTCACTTCCCAGGCCAGAGCATGCAGGCTGCACAGAAGCTGAAATTCTGTTCAAAGCACCCTGAAGACTCGCCCAGTCAATGTTGCTTGGCTGTGGAGCATTAGCAGGGGGATTAAACGACCCATTTCCCAATTGTTTTGAGGAGTCATTTGCAGGCTGCCCTTTCCATTGTTCACCACGATACTGCTGGCGTGATGAGCTTTGATAAGGATGCTGCCTTTCATAAGCTCGATCATTTGGCTGGAACCTCCTATGCCTGTTTGAATTCCAATTATTTTGCCAACTCCGATCCCTACTCCATCTACCAGTATTTTCTCCTCGACCATCTCTTCCATGGAAAGATGTCTGCTGAGACAAATTTCTGGAAGATGGATTTATTGGTCTGGGAGCGTTACATGCTTGGGATTGGTCAGGCCAGGCATTATAAATCTTTGATGACTCACATCCTGTTGAAGATGCTGCAGGCCTCCCATCCATGTGATTACTAGCCATTCCTGTATTGGTCACGGATAAGGAAGATGGATGAGCGGTCCACTTATCAGAGTTTACCAAGTTGTAATTATCAGTAGCAGGCGAACTTGCAACAGCCTGAAGAATAGTATTTTCTCTCACAGATCCATCCATGTTGTTTGCCCTAGATCCTAACATAGCTGTTGCATTTGTAGGCTGTGCAACTTCCCACTAAGTGCATCAGTCAGTAAAATAGAGTCTTCTTGCTTCTCAGATGATCTCCATATCCTCAAATTAGCTGGGAAAAATTTGCTTGCATTCCACTTCCTCAACTGTGTCATTGAAAATGGCCCTTGTACTTTACCTGCTGGATCCTGATAGTGCCACATCTTTTCATTTTCACTAGTGCTAGATGACACAATATTTGCCTGCTGTGGCACAGTTTCAAAAGTAAGGCCACGCGCCTGTCCGGGTTCTGCAACAGGCTGAGCATTTTTCAGAAGAACAGCATCCATACCAGTTGCATTTGGCTCATTTTTTGGAGTTTTGGGACTGCTGACTGAGTGAGCATCATTTCCTTGATTCCTAGAGAAACCATATGTTCTATCAGCTTGAACGGTAGGTAAAACTATGCCCTGAACTCCTGCCTTTGATGTATTTCTGTTCGAATCCCATGCTGCAAGTGAATTTTTATGTGCATTAAAACCTTCTCTTCCCATAGAAAACTCATCTCTACCCTTGAAATAAGGTTTCTGCTTCTTGTTATCTGCAAGTAATGCAGGCAAATACAAGCAAGAATCAGTGTCAATAATCAACATACAGTTTTGATAGATTGAAATCAAACATTGTGAAGCACCTTCTCTTTTGGCATCTTGACCCTCTTCATCCTCAGTGGAATCATAATCTGGATCCATATTTGGGTCAACATGAATTTCAGGAACTTCATTTAGCCTCCTGATACGCTCCTCAGGAGTGCTCAGAAGCTGAAGTTTCTCTACACATTCTCTATGCGTAAAAAGAGTTGAGGAACAACTGCTGATTGAAGATAGTTACAAGAGCAAGTATCTGATGTATGAAATGTTTGCAGCTGAACTGTATCTATTTCAGGGAAGCTCATTGTGAAACAAGTCAATTTTTGACACAGAAAATATAGATTAAGTATGCTTCCTAAAGAACAATGATATTCTTTTATAGTGAGGGTTAAGGTATAATTTCACGCTCTAAAAAGTGAAACAGGACACACTCACAAGCCATTAGAGTCATGAACATGTGAATATATTAGCATGAATATTTGACTATAAACTTTGCAGTTACCTAACAAATGGAAATACTTGATTGTTGATGACTATTTTACAGGTTAGGTCTTACAGTTCCATAGCAGAGGAATTGTGACCAATTTTCAAAAACCTATTATATGCTGTCAGTTCCACATTAGAGGAATTGTGAACGGTAATCACACACCCTATGATATGCTATGTCTTACAATTACATACTAGAGGAATTGTGACCAGATTTCATACACCCTATTATCTGCTATGAGTTTTCGGCACAGCAAATTTAATGGTATCATGTCTCGATCTAAACGAAGGAGATAAGAAACAAAGAAAGCCGAAGAAGCACAAGAGATAAGAGGATAATAAGAATTCTTCAGCACAACTATCAATCACTGTTCTCCTTTCACATATATAATCCATAGGAACTATGTAGATAGATTTCATTGCTCAATGTCATGTGGATACCTTCAGAAAGGTCATTGGGTATTGAAAGTTGCACTATGCAAAGCTAGACACTGAAATTTGTTCCATCCTTGTTAGACTGACACGACCCTCTAGGCAGTATTCTGAATATCCTTTGTTGAAGGCAAATTAAGTCTACATTTTGTGAGAACCTTACCAGCTCTTACTGAATTAACTTGCATATAAATTGACTGCAGTCCTTTAGGTTACACGAGAATTAATAGCCTTAAAAATCTTATGCATATGACTTTCCAGAGGTAAACAATGCAGCAAACAAAATAATATATCTAAGAGTAGGATATTCCTTTTTGCGACCTTTTTCACTAGCACGATCACGGAGATGACCTAGCCGTGCCTTCTCACTTTCGAGCCACTGCAAAAAGGAAAAAGCAAATGCAAAACATGGAGACATCATAAGTTTGCTTCATCAACTATTTCATAGAAGCAAAATGTGATTACAAGAAAAATCCTCACGTCATCGACTCTCACAGTATGAAGAGCCCTTGCCTTCTCCTGAACTTCAGCCTGATATTGGTAAATAAAGGAAAATTAGGTAAATTGGCAAAGAATACCAGGATTACGTACATTAAGTCTCCGTTAGCATTACCACTTTTGGTCGATCAATAAATCCACATTTCACACTTTGTCTTAAGCGTTCACACTCCTCCTGGAATCACAGCATAGAATTTGTCAGTTGATGTGGACATGTCTTATTTAGAAAACTCACAGCTCATGAGTCAGTTAACATTATATGGCAGACTTTTAATCTTACAATTTACAAAAGTAGCATACCAATTCATGCAAAATGCCATACTGGCAGTGAAGAGCTTTAATTGTTACATATCTTGTTGTTCATACATGAATAAATAATCTTATCTGGAGAAGGTTAAGATGTATTTGAATCAGGCTACAAAAAATTTGAGATAAAAGAATCAAACCTGAAATTAATCTTCTTTTACATATTTATAAAAAAAAGGTCACGGGCATAGCAGGCCACCCAGTGACCTCTTTCTAAACTTTCCATAGTTACTAGCAATTTGCTTCACATGCCCTTTATACATATAGATATGTAGGCAGGAGAGTGAGCCCTTTGGACAATAAAAGTCAAACTATCCCATAATATCTTTGATACTTCAAGATGATACCATGACAGCATTCACTGTTTAATTCTCTTACAAAGAATTTGGCATATGCCGAGTCATTTAATACATTTTTGCACAAACTATAAGGCATCTGCTCATCATTTTAAACTTAAAATGTTAAGAGGAACAGAAGCCATGAACAGAAAATTTAGGCCTATATATGTTTTTCATATAGTTGTCAATATGCACATGAACTAAAAATTAAGCATATGAAAAACATTCTCCGTTACATTAAAACTTACCTCAGTAAACTCCTGATTTGAAATCAGATCAATCGTTATAACCTCTCTCTTGTTTAAATTTAATATCTCCAATGTGATATCTGTTGTCTTCTTACCAGTCTTATATTTTCCTGCTGCCTTGCCAGTCCCTGTATGAAGAAGAATGACATTTACAAATTTGAACTTACAATTGCATATCTAGCTAAAGTGAGAGATGATACAATAAAAACCTACCGACAACTTGCACTAGCCGATACATATCCTTAGCTGAAGTAGAACCAGAAATCCTTATTCTTACAAATGCTCCAACAACATTCTCCTTAAATGTATCATCGTCATCAAGGAAATCCTCCATCAAGTTACGACGTAAGTACATTAAACTGACATTATGAACATCTATCGCTGCATAATCATCAGGATTCATCAGCCCCTTTTCTTCTACCCTTCTACGTGGTTTTCTCCTTAAATCTGAAATCTTTGTGGATGCATCGCTGTTTCCGTCAGCATCAGTTTGACTGGGCTCCGGATCTACAACACCTCCTTGATTATCATCTGTCACAATCGGTGAGGCCTCCTTTATAAGAAAATGTGGTTCAAGAAGCTTCAGCATTTCAAGATGTCCAACACGTGATTTTCCAAAGAGAGCCCAGAGCCTTGAGTCACAAATAATTTGACTTTTTCTACGAGGATCGCGTAAATTATTTTGTTTAATATATTCAAGAAGAAGAGCCTGAACATCAAATTGGGACAAGACAGATCTATCACCATCTTTCATGTGTTCAACAAATTCGAGCAGCTCCTTTGAAGCCCATTCAATGTCCTCAGAATTGGAAATTTGTCCAGTGCCAGCTCTTTTTACTTGATCCTCCCTGTTGGTTGTGTTCCTTGACCGTTTTTTCACTTTCTTCCTCAAAGAAGCGTTTTCTTTATAACGCTTGGAAGAGCTGGATGCACTTCCTCCCTGGTCATCACTAGCATTACCAGAGTTCTCTAGAGGTTCCTCATTCCACTTGGCTGCTCTCTTTTTATTTAAATGTTTTTCATTGCCAAATATTGTATTTGTTTCCTTCAATGGATTTCTAGCCTCAATCAGTTCCTCAGTTGTCAAAGATAGCTTTGCTTTAAGATCTACCCAATAGTCCTTAAACAAATACATCCAACTAGTTTTGTCATCAAAATCAATAACACCCTGCATAAGAAATCCAAATGAAGCAATTAGGGGGAATAAAATTAGAGAAATGATGTATAATCATCAACAGGACACGGTGAAGCGACTGCCTACCAAGCATGGTTTAGTAAAAAGGGAGAACAAGAAATGCATTAGAAAAAGTTTCCTGAATACAAAACAAGAAGAACCACTTCTCTGACATGCAGGAAATAAGACGTGACATAATGATCATTTAAAATCAAAACTACAGTCTGGGAAGCCTGCTATTTCTTAAATTTGGCACCCCTTTTGAACCAAAAGCCAGCCTAGTAAGTAGCATGCACATATCTTGCATTCATGAATGGTAGCAAAATAGAGAGCAATAGGGGCCAAAATCAAACTAGCAGTAGACAACTGGAAATTGCCCAAACTGATAAGGACAATTCATTATTTGAACTCTCAGATCAGTCACGGTTCTGGTTCGCCTTGCTTAGTGCCGTTGTTGAGGGTCTCAACAGTTTCAGCAGGTGGAAATATTGGATTGGAATTGCAAAAATGTAGATTTCGGTGTCCCTAAAAGATTAAAAAAATTACAATTTAAAAAAAATGGAAATGTTTGGTCTGATATTCTTAAAGATTAGAAGATCAAAACTTGCACAATCCTATTATTAACGCAGCATGAATTTCTAAATTGATATGGCATTCTAATTATTAGTTTAAATTACATAAGTTATAACAACAAGATCTTTTAGAAAATAAATCTTAAAATCAGCTCTTACGAAATATATGACCTTTTAGCAAGATTTTTTTAGGAAATAAATCTTAAAATCAGCTCTTACAAAATATATGACCTTTCAACAAGTTTCAATGACATCAAAGGTGTTAGGGTTTGTCCTAGAATTGACCCAATGTGTTAAATTGGTGTCCAAGTTAAGGGTTTATCGAGACACTGAGGTCATATTCTGTGGTTTCTTATATTGGATTAGACCCAAACAAAGAGAGTAGTCCAATCAATTGCTCAATTTATTAATTCTTTTCTAATTGATAGCTTTTTATTGTGGCTCTGAGAAGAATGGTCCTTATCATCTACAATTAGGTCTAGTTATCAGATTTAAAAATTATAATGTTAAATGCAGATTCTTACAATCATATATCAAATAATTCAAAAAAGCACAAACATTCTCTTTGTTGCTTTTTAATCTTTCGACAATATAGAACTATCAAATCAATTTCTTGTACTTCACTCCTCAAACCTCCCTGTTACCTGCCATTACTAGCCGACATTATGGTATAAGCCCATTTGGCCAGGATTTGATAGCTAAGAATCCACATAATACAATTACAACCAGTATGCATCATCATCAACTCATAATTCAAAGTTCAGACCTTGGAACCAAGTAATGCAAAAGTATAGATGACGTGCTTTTTCTGAAGATTTACTAGAATTAGAGTTAAAGTCCACACTCTACCAGATTACAAGAAACCTTGCATTTTTTGGATAAGCAACATCCGTCTTGATTTATGCAAGCAAAGACAAATTGTATCTACTATTTGACCAACAAATTTGGCTACGATTTCAGTTATTATAACAAATAAAAAAGATTGGTCTACTAAAAGCTGCAAAGATGACCAAGTTATAGCAATAACAGAAGTACCAGAGCAAACATACTCGTTCTTGATTCATAATTATCAACAGTGAAAATAAAAGTAATGGTAATTAATATGTTCAGCTGTGTGAGATACTTTAAAAAGAAAATGTGGCAGAGAATCAAGCTCGGATCTCGATAAGACAAGTCAAAATCATCACCTTTTTACTCAAAAATAGACGAGCTACCCAGCAATTTAATAGTAGTGGTACTTACTGTTTAAAAGAAGCAAAAAACGGTGGGTTTCGTAGCTTAAAAATTGTAAATAAGATTAAATTTCTGGTGTACCATGTAGCATATTTTAATTGAGGATCTTCTGCAGAAAATTTTTAAAGAATCTCGAATGAGAATTTTAGTTTTTGAAAATGACACAGCAAAGTTTAAATGACAAAATAGAACACACCATTGTGTCATCTGCATGCTTATTCATCTCTATCAGCATCACTGTTTTCATACACTCCTTGCAGAAACCTTTATTTCCTCTAACACAGACAAAGTCTGATTCTTTTATGCACCCTCTACATAAAGAGTATGTACAAGTATAGCACATGTATCGGGCAGATTTCTGACAGCTGCTACATATATGCCAACCTGATACACAAAGATCAAATATTAAGACAGGTGCCATGACATAAGAATCGATAATCAAGAAGTCTAACTGTAAATAGATTATTTTAGACAAATTGTCAAGAATATAACTGCAAGCCAAGAACAGTGACAAAATTAATAAGAGAAAACATTTTTTCAAACCAAAAACAATGGTAAAATCAGTATGATAAAGTTAATAATGAAGAGAAAGAAATATAGACACTCATGATAAGTTTGCCACGGCTTGTCGGTATGAATGAGAGATAGAAGAATTAGGGATTTCAAAGAACAACTGACACCACAGAGGCTCAAACTCATAATTTGTGATATTTTACACAATACTTGTCACTTTGTTATTAATGGAAGTTAATGTATAGTTTCACGTAGGTTAAGGTACCTGCTTCATCCTTTCAGAATGAAATCTTAATGCTATCAACCAAGAAGACATTGTTCCTAAAACTTTCTGAGTCTTTTTCTAAGGCAAGAAAATTCTCCACTTTAAAAGTGCTCATTGGATTTCATGAATAATAGAAGCCTTGACAAGTGATTTCATCAATTCATTTCAACTGACAATACCTGCATTAACAAATGAACAGCATAGGGATAGTTTTAAATCAACCCATGCTTCCACTCATCTCTATTGGCTACTTCAGAAGGTCGTCATGAGATATGATGCAATCAGGGCATATCATGGGCCTTAAAGTTTAAATTGCACAGAAGAAAACATTCTAGGCTCAGTGGAGTTTTATTATTTTGTTTGCCCATTCCGATTACTTTAAGGGCTCTCAGAGTTCCATACCCACTTTTGATATTTGAATCACTGTGTTGTCAGCCTAGCATTTTCATTGTTTCCCCTCTTTCACTTGTTTCTTTTTTTAATTGTGGCCAATGATTCTGAAAGCAAAGAAAAAATACAGTTTGAAGAGAGGATCACCAATGACCACCATCCAATGCAAGAAATTGTGATGCTGTTACAAATCTGTGTCACCGCATTTTGCTAATCCGAAATTTTTAACGTAATTCACCTCCTACAAACTTGAATAACCGTTTAGTTGTGAGACACCTTATATATAATGATGATAAATCCTGAGCACAGCAGTCCTAGATCGAAATTACTCTGATCAACGTTTGGATTAATGGATCATTTAGTACATGATTGCATCACAATAAGCTTTTTACAGCCTTTACTAACACAACTTCATTTAAAACGGAGAACAAGAAAATAAATGTGACTTTAAAAATTTTCAAACCTATCTTGAACATTCTAACACACACTTTTTTCAAAAATAAAATTTTGACTCCTTAATGCCCTTAGTGCCTTAGTCTGTGTATTAAATATCGGCCGATATATCACTATATCGGCCGATATATCAGTTTTGATGCCCTTCCAATATGATATTTATGAAAAAATATCATTTTTCAATTTTTACCACTTTTTTCGGTACATTGAAAATATTGGCCGATATTGGCTAATATCCAAATAAAATGGGTTATTGAGTTTGGATTTGGTTTTGGTTCCCACTAGACCCGAAAACTTAATAAATTTCCAAACTCAAATACCCTAAATCCCTAGTCAATCTCATATTTTGCTTTCTCTTCGTTCGGCACTCTCTCCTCTCTATGAACTCTCTCTTTCACTTCTCCACTTCTCCTCTCTCTCAGCTCCTCCTCAAACCCCTCTGTCTCTCTTTCACTCTCCTCTCTCTCTCTCTCTCTCTCTCAACTTCTCTCCCCCTTCTCTCTCTGTCTTCCTCTCTCTTCCTCTCTCCACTGTTCATGTCCTCTCTCTCTCTCTCAGATCTCTACCTGTATCTAATGTCTCTAAACGTCGTACATCATTATTCATGATGTAATTTCTTATGTTTAGAATATATTAAATATGTTTTGATTACATATTACAATGTTATGTTACATATGAACATCATCCAATATGATACCCTGCTATTTTAAACATATCCCTGATATATCCCCCATTTCCGCAATCCGATATGGATTTTGGCCATCCGATATTTCCGATATTTTTGATATTTAATACATTGGCCTTAGTTAATTGTAGAAATTACTTTCTTCTAATTTTTTTTTTTACTTTTAGATGAGATTTATTGTAGATTTTTTTTTCTATACCAATCTAACCATCGAGCAATCCAAAATATGCAACTTCACATGAAGTTCGATCACCATTTGTTGATATTATAGAATACTTTGTTGAATATGTATAAATCAAAATAATTCAGCTACTGACACAAAAGTAGAAGCTGCTAACTAAAAAATTTGTATAAGACATACCACAGGTCCACTGGCCCTTCGCCTTGAAGTACTCCTCGTCCCGGTTAACACATGAAGGGTGATACACCTTCGGGCAACCCCTATAGCAAATATTTATCAGTACAAAAGTGAGAAAGAAAAGATACAAAGAGGTTATTCATACTCACCTGTGATCACAGACCACAAGGTCTCCACCATCGAAGCAAATGAAGCACAATTCTTCATCCTCCTTTGGCTTTGATGGTGCCCTTGTCCTTCTCCCATTAGCCACTTGAGGGCGACCACGCTTCTGCTTTGACCCTGTCCTTCTTCCAGCTGCCTTTGCCGGGCCCCCTTCATCAGTATCCACCTCATCATCCTCTTCTTTCTCAGCTGATTCTTCCTGATCCTTTTCAGCTGATTCTTCTTTCAACGATGAAACATTTTCGTCTTTTTCAGCTGAATCTTCTGGAAGAGCTGAAATTTTATTATCTTCGTCAATCTGTTCCTGTTGCAATGAGGACACTTCGGTGCTTTTACCAGCTGATGCTGCTGTCTCCTCTTTCAATTGCTCTTCTGAGAGCTCTTGTTCAACTTTTTCATGCTTAATCTCATTGACAGCCGCAGTGGAGACTGAAAGTTCAGATATGGGCTCTTTCTCTTTTTCTCCAACAAATTCTGCTGGCAATGAGGAAAGTTTCGCAACGTCTTCACCCGATTGTGGAATCTCCTCATCTAGTTGCTCAGACGGATGTATCCCATCAAGCTCTATGGGCTTGTCTTCAACTTCTTCTTGCATGATATCATCTGGTACATCAACTTTATCTTCTCCTTCTTTTCCAAGTAACCCTTGCTCCAATGAGGATACTTTGTCATCTTTTTCGGCCAATGTTTCCTGCAGTGAGTAAATTTTCGAGTCGCCTTCAACTAACTGTGGTCTCTCCCTGTTTAATTCCTCAGTTGAGCAGGCCTCATGGGCATCATCAATGTTGTCTCGCATTACCTCATCAATATCAGCAACAGAGACTAAAGGCTTTCTCTTTTCCTCTTCTTCACTCAATGAAGAAATTTTCTCATCTCCTTCAGCAAGTAGTGACCTTTCCCCATTGAGTTCTTTATCCGGGGTGGGTTCAGAAAAATCGGCAACGGCTTCTCCTCGGCATTCTCTTGCATGATCTCATCAATCAGAAGGTTCAGTGCATGGGATATTTCTCCTGCCTCCACCGTCACGCGCGTTCTTGCTTCTTTCTCGTCCCCTGCGGCTAATAGTGATATTTCCCTGTCTGGGCTCTTCTCCATCGGTATTCTCTTCCAATGGCCTCGTCGGCATGAAGGCTCAACGACGGGAGCTTTCTCCTCCTCCATCGCCACCACTGTTCTAGGTTTCCCCTCCTCTTCTTTCAATGAGGAAACTCTCTCATCTCTTTCATATACCTGTGGCTCATCCTCTCCACCGGCCATTAGATTTCTCCGCACACAATATTCACTCCTTCTCGCTCCGCAGTCGAGGGGGGGGGGCGACCGCCGCTCTCCTCCATCATCAAGTTTCGGCGGAACGGGAATCGATCCCTCTTCATCCAACCGATCGGATTCCTCCGTGATGGGTTCGTCGGCGGATCGAATCGACTGTCGAATGTCGACTTCGTCGAATTGGGGGGAAACCCGTTGGGGGTTCTCGTCTCTGGATTCCATGGCGGGTTGAGGATGGATGGAGTCTGGTTGTGGCGGTGATTCTTCCTCCATGAATTGAATCAAAACCCTAAAATTTACTTATTTCTTGGGAAGTTGGAGTTTTTAGGGGCCGTTTTGCTACGGGAAACAGGAACGGGTGGGGATAACTGATCCTTGGCACGTGTGTGCTGTAATATTATATATATATATATATAATATATATATATAATATATATATAATATACATATATATATATTAACATATATATATATATATATATATTATATATATATATATATATATATTATATAGGGAAAATTGCTTGAGCAAGCAAAATAAGTTAGGCCAATCATCCCCACCCCCAGCCCAACAACCATAACCCATAAGTCCTAAATTAAAAAATATATGCAACCACCACCCAAACCCACTGCCAAGAAACCAACTTCCCAATTACCCTTCTTCCCAATTAAAACTCAATCCATTTCCTCCTCTCCCTCCTCCTCCTCATTCGCACCCTCCTCCTCCACGACGCCTCCTCGGCTCAGTCTGCCTCCTCCCCTCCCTCACATCCTCCCCCTCCTCCGTTCACATCCTCTCCTCCTCCCTTTCCCCTCCTCCCCTCGCTCCTCCCTCCTCTGTCCATCCTCTCCTCTCCCCTTCCCCCTCCTCCTCGACCCCTCATCGGCTCCGTCCGCCCCCTTCCCCTCCTCCCTGACCCCCTCCTCAGGCTCCGTCTGCCCCCAGCTCTCTCTCCCCCCTTCCCTCCCCTCCTTCTCTCTCCTCATCCGTATCCTCTCCTCCTCCCCCTTCTTCCTCCTCCCCGACCCCCTCCTCGGCTCCGTCCACCTCCTCCCCTTCCCCCTCCCCTCATCCGACATCTTTAATTTTAAATTCTCACAGGCTTTGGGATTTGTTCATGGTGCTAAAGTCGTCCATGCTCCTGAACCAGTTCATAGACTTCTAAGGTAGATTTTTGATCATTTAAACATCTTTCCATTTAATTGAAAATGTAGTTTGTCTTTCAATAGGAGAAGTCAGATATATTTCTGTTGTAAAATACTTCTCCTTTTATGATCTATGTATCTTTTCCTAGCTGAGGCAGTATCTTAGAAGGTTAGTACACAATACTTCTGTATTGGTGCTTATTAAATATCTTTTGTTTTCCAGTGAAGTATCTTAGAAGGTTAGTACACAATACTTCTGTATTGGTGCTTATTAAATATCTTTTGTTTTCCAGTGAAATTGAGCACAATGAATTGCTTATTAAATATCTTTTGTTTTCCAGTGAAATTGAGCACAATGAATGCGACATTTTTCAGGGTATCCCATCAGGAACAAATTCTGGATTTGAGGTAAGTTCTGAATGGTTATCATATATGAACTTTAAAGATTTTGCTTTTCTTTACCTAGTCACTTTGTATCTTACAACAGAAAAAAAAGGCAATTCATTTGGGTCTTTCTACGTGAATCATTTCCTCCATTCAGCTCTATAAGGCGACTTCCTATATCATATTTCACTAATATTCAAGTCCTGTTGTTCTGTTTTTGTTTTGCACAATTACTGTCTTCTTTTTGTGGTCCACACAAACATTCTGCAGGTTAGTCTTTATAATTTTGGAAAAAAAAATGAAGTACTTTTTTTTCTAGGAAGAAGTACTAGTTAAAGTTAAAAGGCAAGCAATAAACAAAAAGATATTTCGGAGGCATTTGTAAAAGTTTTTACTTGTACATTTTTAGAGACTCCACTTTAGGCTGTTTTACAGAAAAATTATTTGAACTCTAAATCGTTGCTTTAGATAATATACAAATAGATGGTGATGCATTAAACTAAATTCTGTGTGAATTTTGGTGCCCATATGTGATATTTTAGTATGATGTGTGACTTATGCTGCATTTAGTCACATTTTGGTATTTTGTGTGACTTTTGTGGTTGTTACGTGACATTTTAGTATTCTGTGTGACTCTTGGGGCCCATATGTGACATTTCAGTATTCTGTGTGACTTTTAGGGCTGTTATGTGATATTTTTACATTCTCTGTGTTATATTCTTGTTACCAGTTATATATCCTGCTATTAAGTGTTATGTTATATTTCTACAGGTATGATTATGGCATACATGCGTATTTTTTCATCAAGGCGATCCTAGAGGGAAGGGAGATAATGAACGTTGAAGCCTTGCACATAGAGTCGCATATGCTACGAGTAGGAGAAATAACGTGAATGAAAAAATATGCACATGGAGTCGCATATGCTGCTCAACTCATATGTGAAGGCCGTGAATGAAAAAAAAACTACGGTTAAAATTAGACAGTGATGATCCATAATATTTTTTGTACTTTGGGGGTAGTGATGTTCCTATGATTGAGTGGAAGTATTAGACTCTACATGTAACTGTAAAGTTCTTACAGGTATCACTGTTAATACTAACAAGTCACATGAACATGTAATATGTCACATTTAAGTAGCAAATATCACAACAAAAGGGAAAATGTAACATGTAACAGACAACAGTCACAAAAGAGTCTGAATTCTGTTAGGAAACGTTAATCATACTAAAACATCACATAACAGCCTCAAAAGTCACACAGAACACCAAAATATCACATACAAGGAGCAAAAGTCACACAGCATACTAAAACATCACATAACAGCCTCAAAAGTCACACAGAACACACCATACTAAAATGTCACATAAAAGCCCCAAACGTTACACATCATACTAATGGTCACATATCTTCACATATAGCTCACACAACAATCCAACAAATGTCACACACAACTAGTAAACTAGTTATCATTTACATCATAGCGTTTAAACAAATGTTACAGTTACATGTAGAGTCTAATACTTCCACTCAATCATAGGAACATCACTACCCCCAAAGTACAAAAAATATTCTGGATCATCACTGTCTAATTTCAACCGTAGTTTTTTTTTTCATTCACGGCCTTCACATATGAGTTGAGCAGCATATGCGACTCCATGTGCATATTTTTTCTTTCATTCACGGCCTTCACATATGAGTTGAGCAGCATATGCGACTCCATGTGCATATTTTTTCATTCACATTATTTCTCCTACTCGTAGCATATGCGACTCCATGTGCAAGGCTTCAACGTTCATTATCTCCCTTCCCTCTAGGATCGCCTTGATGAAAAAATACGCATGTATGCCATAATCATACCTGTAGAAATATAACATAACACTTAATAGCAGGATATATAACTGGTAACAAGAATATAACACAGAGAATGTAAAAATATCACATAACAGCCCTAAAAGTCACACAGAATACTGAAATGTCACATATGGGCCCCAAGAGTCACACAGAATACTAAAATGTCACGTACCAACCACAAAAGTCACACAAAATACCAAAATGTGACTAAATGCAGCATAAGTCACACATCATACTAAAATATCACATATGGGCACCAAAATTCACACAGAATTTAGTTTAATGCATCACCATCTATTTGTATATTATCTAAAGCAACGATTTAGAGTTCAAATAATTTTTCTGTAAAACAGCCTAAAGTGGAGTCTCTAAAAATGTACAAGTAAAAACTTTTACAAATGCCTCCGAAATATCTTTTTGTTTATTGTTTGCCTTTTAACTTTAACTAGTACTTCTTCCTAGAAAAAAAAGTACTTCATTTTTTTCCAATATTATAAAGACTAACCTTCAGAATGTTTGTGTGGACCACAAAAAGAAGACAGTAATTGTACAAAACAAAAACAGAACAACAGGACTTGAATATTAGTGAAATATGATATAGGAAGTCGCCTTATAGAGCTGAATGGAGGAAAGGATTCACGTAGAAAGACCCAAATGAATTGCATTTTTTTTTGCTGTTGTAAGATACAAAGTGACTAGGTAAAGAAAAGCAAAATCTTTGAAGTTCATATATGATAACCATTCAGAACTTACCTCAAATCCAGAATTTGTTCCTGAGGGGATACCCTGAAAAATGTCGCATTCATTGTGCTCAATTTCACTGGAAAACAAAAGATATTTAATAAGCACCAATACAGAAGTATTGTGTATTAACCTTTCTAATATACTGCCTCAGCTAGGAAAAGATACATAGATCATAAAAGGAGAAGTATTTTACAACAGAAATATATTTGACTTCTCCTATTGAAAGACAAACTACATTTTCAATTAAATGGAAAGATGTTTAAATGATCAAAAATCTACCTTAGAAGTCCATGAACTGGTTCAGGAGCATGGACGACTTTAGCACCATGAACAAATCCCAAAGCCTGTGAGAATTTAAAATTAAAGATGTCGGATGAGGGGAGGGGGAAGGGGAGGAGGTGGACGGAGCCGAGGAGGGGGTCGGGGAGGAGGAAGAAGGGGGAGGAGGAGAGGATACGGATGAGGAGAGAGAAGGAGGGGAGGGAAGGGGGGAGAGAGAGC